AATAAATAAAAAAATAAACAGTTTGAATTTTTTTTCAACGTTATTTATTTTTGGGACAGAGAGAGACAGAGCATGAACGGGGGAGGGTCAGAGAGAGAGGGAGACACAGAATCGGAAACAGGCTCCAGGCTCCAAGCCATCAGCCCAGAGCCCGACGCGGGGCTCGAACTCACAGGCCGCGAGATCGTGACCTGGCTGAAGTCGGACGCTTAACCGACTGCGCCACCCAGGCGCCCCAAAAAATTCAAACTGTTTAAAAGGTAAGAAATTAGTTTATCTTCCATTAAAATATCTTTAAAATGATTCCAAAGTTTTCAAAACAACAGCAATCTTGAAATTCATTGAAAGTTCCACATTAAGGCCTCTCTTCATTTAAAGTGAAGAGCAACAGGAATTTTGATATGAACATAATTGTGAAAGTATATGTTTTCTAATATTAGATTTCAAAATCATCAACTGAAACTACATTTTAATATGATCTCAATTTTTTTTTAATTTGTGTTTATGAATACATTTTGATGTAAAGAAATATGGTAAAATGCCAACAGTGATTATTTGGGGTAATGGAATCACCATCATTTTTTATTTTTTAATGTTTTTCTGAATTTTTCAAATATCTTTGAAGCAGATAGGCATTTATTTTAAAATCCAAAAACAAAGGCATCATTTAAAAATTTAATCTATTTTTCTCTATATATTAAATCAAGCTTAGTTGTTGAAAGAGGCAAGAGAATCAACATACCTTTTGATTAAATGGGCTCGGCTGTTCACATAGTTGGAGTCAAAGGAATAGTTTTCAGTCTGCAATGGGGAAAAAAAAAGATTAAAAATGTTACATAGATGATTCACGGAAAGAGCCAAACTGTCCTACTTATGAGGAATTTTTCTACTGGATGAGAAGCAATGAATGAATCAGAAACCAAGGCCATAGCTGGGTAACACCCTGAGGAATGCCTGCTGCCTGCTTAGAGCTCTGAGGGCTCTGTAGAAGCAGCCCTCACTTACAGACCAAGATGAACTTTACTCAAACATCCCCTATAATATGGATGGCTACTGACCATGCAACCACTTAGAGGAAGATACAACATGACCTACAATCTTTACAGAAACTAATTGTTTTCCATTCCCAGTGGATATAATTCTGTGCCTATCAAATTGACTGGAAGTTCAAAGGTATTTTTATTAGTAGTACATAATTAACATGTTAAAATATTTATTCCATAGATATGGACAAGCTAATCCCCTACTGTGGATTTAAACTCTGCACTTCCTTTTGTTTTAAGACATTTTGCTCAGCATTAGTTATGCAGGAAGACCTTTGTTTTATCACAGATATAAAGGCAAACAACTATTATGCCTGAAACTGGATGAAGGGCAGTCCACAGGGAGTGCCAAAGCTTTTCATGTGAAACATGAAGCTTGCAAGCAAACCCTGTCTCAGCTCCTATCATTAAAACACCACTTCCTAATCTGGTTACAGTAGACTGCCTGAGCAACAGCTTTACAAAAACAAATGCAAAATACCTGCCAGATGAATGAGATGGGAAAACAGTTCATGAGCACCGAAAGGGAGCAGCCTTAGAAGGTGGGAATGCAGGGAAAAGTTGACACTGAAGTAACTGAAAGTTCTAGTACAGTGGATCTTACTCCCAACACTCAAGTATTATTCTGACTGAGCCATCGTATACACTGGAAAATGCATAAACACATCTCCTCCACCCTCCTGCTCTTCTACCAGAAATCATCTCCATCCCCACCATTCCCATCATTCCTTAGGACCTTCTGAAATGACTTCAACTAAAAGTGCCTGGAAAAGGAAACACAATAGCTGTCTAGCTACCAAAATACCAGATTCCTTTCAGATGACTACCTGTCAGACATTAACTGTGCTAGGCTCTTAGACACAGATTTTGGTTGCAAGGAACTGAAAGTTTAGTAGAGGATAACAGGAAAGGTGATAGTAGATGCAACTACCACATGAGCATCAAACACCCAACAGTTAGGGTAGAGACCCTAAGTATTTAGAGTAGGTGGGGATGGGGGGTGGTAAGTAGGCAGGAAAAAGGAGGAGAGAATATTGAGAAGGAATCTAAATCCCATCATTGTCTTGTACTTACTCAGGCATGCTCATGCCCTCTGCATGCCCCTCATTTGAAGATGGGCTCTATAATATCTATTCACACTACTTTTATGTACAGGCTAAAATCCACTTTAATGTAAACCACAAGTGATTTTTGGTTCTGTTGTAAGGAATGGAGTGGGAGAGTAAAAAATAAAAAGGATCAGTTCATTTCTAATTTGTTCATAAAAATAGAACTACCCTGTGAGCCAGCAATTGCACTACTAGGTATTTATCCAAGGGATACAGGTATACTGTTTTGAAGGGACACATGCACCCCAATGTTTATACCAGAACTATCAACAATAGCCACAGTATGGAAAGAGCCCAAATGTCCAT